AGGAGGACATCAGAGGATGTATTTCATTGGGCAAATCTGCTGCAAAAGACCTCTTTCAGGTGTTGAAGAACAAAGATGTGTCCTTGAAGACTAAGGTATGCCTGATACGAGCCATGTTATTTTCATTTGCCTCATATGCATTTGATAACTGCACAGTGAATAAGGAAGACAAGAAGAGTTGATGCTTTTGAGTTGTGGTGTTGGCACAGAATGCTAAAAACTAGAATGCTGAAAGACTGCCAAAAGAACTAACAAATCTGCCCTGGAAGAAGTGCAGCTAGAGTGCTCCTTGGGAGTGAGAATGGTGAGACTTCATTTGACCTCTTTGGTCATGTTGTCAGATGGACTGTTCCCTGGAGAAATATATCATGCTTGGTAAAGTGGAGGGTCAATGAAAAATGGGAAGGCCTTCAATGCGATAGATTGATATAGTGGCTATAACAATGGGCTCAGGTGTAGCAAGGATTGTGAGGCTGGCACAGGATCAGGCAGTGTTTCTTTCTGTTGTACTTAAGGTTCCTCTGAGTTGGAGCTGACTTGATGGCACCTAACAATAATAACATAAGGAAAAAAAAAATCCTCATAAGTAGACCAATAAGCAATATCACAATAAATGGAGAAAAGATTGAATTTGTCAGGGATTTCATTTTACTTGGAACTGCAGTCTACACCCCTGGAAGCAGTAGTCAGGAAATCAGACATTGTATCACATTGGGCAGATCTGCTGAAAAAGACATCTTGAAAGTGTTAAAGAGCAAAGATGTCACTTTGAAAACTGAAGTGCACCTAACCTAAGCAATGGTATTTTCAGTAGCCTCATATGAATGAGAAGCCTGGACAATGAATCAGGAAGACCGAAGAAGAGTTGATGCCTTTGAATTGTGGTGTTGGCAAAGAATATTAAAATACCTTGGATTGGTTGAAGAATGAACAAATCTGTCCTGAAAGAAGTGCAGCCGGAATGCTTCTTAGAAGAGTATGGTCACGCTTTGTCTCACCTATTTTGGGAAGGGGCCATTCTCTGGAGAATGCTGTCTTGCTAGGTAAAGTAGAAGGTCAGTGAAGAAGACCTTTAACAAGATGGATTGGCACAGTGGCTGCAGCAATGGGCAAGGATTGTGAGGATGGCACACTACTGGGCAGTGTTTCATTTTGTTGTACATAGGGGTGCTGTGGGTCAGAGCTGACTCGGCGGCATCTAACAACAACAGCAACAACAACAGATCTTTATGATTTTGTTTATTTCATGAGATTTATTATTTTTCTTTGTTATTGCCCTATAATTTATTATTCCCAGGTTTAAAAGAGTTCATTCTATCCTGATGCTGTCTTGACTTCCTCTCCATTTGGAAGCTCTATAACTACACCATTTATTCCCTCTGTTTTATAGTTTCCTTCCTGCTTGGCTTATTTCTGCCTAGAAATCAAAAGGTTAGTTTTACTGAATGTCCTTTTTAGGTAATTTTCCATTTTTTTTCTGAGATACTTTCAGGATACTTTCTTTGTCTTTGGTCTTGGAAAGTATGATTATGGTAGGTCTTGGTGATTTTTTTGTGTTGATCTATCCTGTTTTGTGTTTGTTGAGCTTCTTGAATGCATAACTTCTCATCTTTCCTGATATTATGGAAGTTTTCTTCCAATGAATCTTCAATAATTTTCTTTTTGGGTTTTTTTTTTTGTCTCTTCTTGTTCAGGAATTCTCATCATACATAAGTTATTCCTCTTGATGGTATCCCTAATAAATTTTAACCTTTCTTTAATTTTTTTTTTTGTTCTTTTTTCAGGTTATGCCTGCAACAAATTAGTATTGAAAGAGCATTGTCTTCAGTCTCGCTAATTCTGTGTTCCTTTAATTCTGTTCTCCTCCTTTGTTCTCTGTTTCTGAAATTTTAGTTTTAATGTTCTGGATTTGTATTTGCTGTTTTCCACTTATTTTGTCAGTGTGTTCTTGTATTGTTTTTCTGAAGTCTTCTAGAGTTTCGTCTGTTTCCTTGATTTTTTTCTGTATTTTCCATAATCTCCCTCTCTGTCTGTTGAAACAACAAAAAACAAACTCACTGCCATTGAGTCGATTCCAACTCATTACAACCGCCGTTGGGTTTTCAAGTCTGTAAATCTTTATGGGAATTGCTTGTCTAATCTTCCTTCTGTGGAGCAGCAGGTCGGTTTGAACCACTGCCCTGGTGAGCAGCCAAATTCCTTACTCACTGTGTCACGAGAGTTCCTTTCTGTCCATTGAGGGTATCTAAATACAATTCTTTTGAATTCTTATCAGTTGGGTCCAGTAACCTTTCTTCCTCAATAAAGTTTTCTGGCTCTGTATTTTGGTCATTTGTGTGACCCACCCTGTCTTGTTTCTTTATGTGAAGTGAGGTTGCCTGTTGTGTCTGAGACATTGGGGATGGAGTGCACTTGTATGTTGCTTTGTTTTGTTCAGGTTTTTTGCTTTGATATATCTGGACAACATGGATTGGCATACTACTTGTCTCCCTCATTTGGCATCACTTAGGCTCTCACCAGTTGATTCCAATGGTGGTCAGCTGGTGAGAGCCTAAGTGATACCAAACGAGGGAGCAAACAGTGAAACAATGCATTAAAAGATAAGAATATTTTAAAAAGACAAGGGAAGGAAACAAAGGAGAAGAAAAAACAAAACACAAATGCAAGAGTGGAGAAAAAAGAGGAAAAAAGGATGAAAATAAAAACTAGGGAAGGGAGGAAAAGGAGAAAAACAATAAACAAGTGAAGGGAAAGGAAAAAAAAAAGAAAGTTGAGATGATGGTGGGTCGGGCACCCAGTCCCTTGTGACATTCAGTGCTGGTCAGTGAGGTAGTGGGGCATGGGGTGCCTGGTCAGGGATGGTATTTCTGTCAGTCTTGGGGGCAGTTGGGTTCAGGTCACCCAGACTGAGATGACATGCTTTGCCAGACTTGAGCACGACAGTTGGTAGGGTGCACAATCAAGGATGATGTGCTTTCTTACCTGTGGATGCAGTGGGGGTGATTCGCCCAGACAGGGCCTGAAGTGGACAGTATACTCCATTGTCTGAGAGGGTATCGGTGGGTGCAACACTCGGTTTGGGACAGCACTTTGGCCAGCCACAGAATTGGCAGTTGGTAGGGCACCAGTCCAGGACTATGTACTCTGCCAGCCATGGAGGTAGCAGGGGCCTATGTACTTGGTTCTCAGTGGTGTGCTCTGCAGACCATTGGGCAGCAGGGATGGGGTGCCTGGTTAGGGCTGGTGTGCTCTACTGGCTGTGGAGGTGGCAGGGGGTGGGACACTTGCTTCTGGATGGCACTTCTGTTGCCTTAGTTGGTAATAAAATTGTATTAATTTGAGAAATGATAACATGTTTACTCTCCTAATTCTCATATGGAAGATTTGTATTATATATTTGTATTTAAATAACTGTTAATAATTCCTGCAGTAAATAAACTTGATTAACTTTGTGCACTACAAATTTACCTACACTTTTAATTTGTACAAGTATGCCCTTTGTTTATGAGATAATAATTTCAGGTGGAACATAGTTTGGGGTATGCTCATTTAAACACCTTATTTATGATAATATTACAGAAAATTAAGAATATTTAGAGCTACATCTCTAATGTAGTTCTAGCTTTCAAAGAAGGCTTCCAATTCTAAAATTAATGAAAGAACATGAAACTGGATAGTTACCTGCTAGTTTTTATATTCTTATTTTATAAAATATAAATGAATGTATGGTTAGAAATAGAGTATAGGGAAAAGAAAGAGCTAAGTTCTTAGGACCATCTCATTTTCAGTTTCCCTGTTTTTGAATCAGAGAGTTCGGTGGCACTGCAGTTAAAGCATTGATTGAGTTGCTAACGAAAAGGCTGGCGGTTTGAACCCACCAGCCACTCTGTGGGAGAAATATGGGGCAATCTGCTCTTGTAGATTTACAGTCTTGGACACCCTATAGGGCAGTTCTACTCCATACTGTAGGGTCACTACTGATAGCAATGAGGGTTTTTTTTGGGGGGGTTGTATTTGAATCACAGATCATATTTACTGTATGTATTATATACAAATACGTTTCTCCCTCATGATTCTTGTCTTGTGCCTATTGTCGAGCATGGAATAATTGTGTGGCGGCTGCCTCTTGTTTCCTGTTTTCTCTTTTTTCCCATTTCTTTTTTCCCAGCTTTGTTCTTCAGGCAATCAAGACAGTGGAAAATTGAGCATCTTCTGCTTCATTAGTGTTTTACTTTGTGGATTCTTAACATGTCACTGTTAATACTCACACACTGTTTGAAAATTTGAAGTTTTTGTCAGTGCTTTGGATTGGTAATTTGTGGCTAGATCAGAACTTTGTGGTTGTATTTTGATTTTTAGCTGTATTCCTGTATTCCTGTGTTTTGAGTTCACTTGAACACTATTTCAAAATCCTGTTAGAAAAATGTTTACATGGAAGATACATGTTTGCAAATTTTTACATATATATATATATATATATATATATATAAACTTAAAAAAAATGAATCAGGTAAGTTGCATAATCATTATTTGATTTCATTTGGTTTGAGATACTCTGAAAAGAAATAATCAATAACTTTAAACCAGACTGTCTTTAATATAAAATATAAAATTTACTTTTAAGTTTGGCTTTTTAAAAATATATTTTAGTTAATCTGAAAATTCATAAAATTTTTAACTGCTGTAAATGATCTTTAGATTATAAAACATAACCTGAAATTTCTTAGTATAGATACACATTAGCATGCAAATTATTTTATAATATATTTTAATAGATTTATTAGTAATTTTGTAATTTCAGAATATGAGACTCAAGCAATCAGGTCTTAGTTATTTCATTTCTTTTTTTTATTTATGTGAGCAGTAACTCTTGCTAATTTTGTTTATTTTGAAATTTTTTTCAATGATAATTTATCTAGGGCTAGATGTAAACAGGAAGGAGTGAATATTTATCTGTACTACTTTGCAAGAGTAATGATATAAAATTTTTTCATTAAAAGGCAAAACTAAATGTATGATGAAGTCTTCAGACTGTGTCATAAAGCACGCTGGTGTTTACAGTACTGGCCTTGCAATGGTGGTAAGCTGCTTCTGATTATTTCTTAGACTAGTAGGTTTCCAAGAATAAGAAAAAAAACTCATTCTTACCAGTGGTGATTTTTTTTCTAAATAGCAGCCCTTTTTCCCTTGTTTCAATCAACTTTTGGTGATCTGGATTATCTATGATACATGCTATCTATATGGTTTCTCCTTAATGCTCACATATTCTGGCTGCTTTCTTCTTATTGGCAAATGTACAAGTAATAGAAGCTTATTTTAATGACTTCAACAAACATTCATTTTGTAATTGTTTTTATTCTATTCATAGCATCTTTCTAAAATGTGTCAATTAAACTTTGAAAAACATCAGGCCTTTGGTTAAATATGCTAAGTGATTCCAGAAGAACTTTAGTGTTAACAGTTTTTCTTTTTAAAGCTTTATGTTTTAAAAAGGAGCATGTACTTAACACAATTATACATAATCTGTTTAGTAGATGTGGGATTTTTGGAAAGATACTCAGTGTTTCAGATAATAAAAACAATTAGGATATGTGATACATTTTCTTTTTCACTAGAAAATGTTTTCCCTTTAAATATGATTTAATACATTTTATTGTATTCCACTGTATGACTTTATACTTTAATTCTAAATTTTAGTGTATGAGTAAAATAATACTGTTTTTTTATATTTAGGAGAATATTTATAGGAACTTTCCAAGAATGTATATTACTTATAAGGCAGGCCTTTATGTGATATATTTCATGTATACATATTTTATAGAGACAACAAACCAGAATTATTCATAATCATCTTTTGAATTTCTCTTAAAATACAGGTTGTCAGTGCTATCTTTAATCAAAGACCCTTACAGTCTTCCTTGATAGTTTACTTATGTCTAAAATTTATTAGTTTTATTTTAGTTCACTGAGTTGATCAATGCAAATGGTCTCTTCTTATGTAGAGAATGAATTAGTGGACTCACATCATTAGCTATAAATTCTAGAAGAGTGATCTGGATATTTTCTATTTGCTTCCCTAGACTTCCTTTGTTTTTACCCTTTTCCACTCTACTTTGCCTGGGAGGCTGACCTGTATGGACTGGATTAATGGCCTTCATACCTTATGGCTTTCTGTTTGGGTTTGGCCAGTGGAAGGCATCAGCAGAACACCTGAGGATGGAAGTAGTATTTATTCCCCTAGTGTACTCCCTGCTGGGTTGTCCTGATTGGTTGTGGCCATCCTCTAAAGGCCACAACTCCTGTGAGGATTCCTTTCTTTAAGCTCTGTTGAGGGGTATGGTGACCATTCTCCCTCCTTCCATCCCCTTCTCCCTTCAGTCCTAGGAATGCTAATTATAATTGTATTATCCTTTGATGTTTTTCCTAAACCCTGCCCTGTCCTTTGTAATTTTTCTATTTTAAACTCTCCTTGATCACTGCAAACACGGCAAGGAGGCCACATGTTCTGACTCCTCTAACCCTACAAGGGGAAGACAGGATTACCAGCAGTAACCCAAGGTCTATTACTGTAAGGCCAGCCATGCTGCCTTCCTCCAGCCCTTTCACCAACCATTCCTCCCAAAGCACCCACCACCTCTCTCCTGGGTTCAATAATTCGCTGCAGTGGCCACACAGAACTCACAGATTATGAGGTTTATTAGGGAAGCA